TACGCATGAGTTGGATGAGCTACTGCTGACCAATTACCGAATTTGATCGAAGTCTGGCTTCGACCGGAGGGCATCGACCGCCATAGCAACAACATCTAAGCAACTTCGAACTTCGTGAAAAAGCGCGAGTGCTCGAAAATGGAGGTTGCTGGTAAAAGAGTTCCATCACCGGTAATGTCTGACTACTGTAAAAACATTATGCTTTTTTTATACAATCGAATTTCTTGAGGGGAAAGCAAAAATTAGTTTACGGAGACTGTCTTGTACACAGCGACGAGGCATTAGATTAATTGTTCCAAAGATCTCCGCTTAGTACATGACAAGACACATATTGAATTTGAAACCAGATATGAAAGGTGCCATATCATGCACAACCCATAACCCAGACAACAATGTTTTGAAGTGCTAACCTAGAAAACGAGGTATCTTGTCACTCATCCAATGAATGCGACTGAAAATGTTACAAGTAGAGAACCATCAGGTACCACACATAACATCTAGTGAGCTGACAGTGTACTTAAATGGCTATGAAAATCCGTCCATTGTACAAATTAATTTTGATAGATGAAAAATACATAATATTTTGTCATTTGTGGACAATAAAATGTGTAGAACTAAAAATGGTATACATTTATGGAATGAATGGACACTCGATCAATTGTGTCCTCACTGACTTCCCCCTATTATTCCGACTTCAAATGTTCACACATCAGTCTACTGAACCTTCACTTTCACTGTGGTACTTGAGTAGTGTAACTAATTGCAAAATTTTTCAAGCCAATGACTTTGGCCAGCTGTTTATGTAGCTACCATATTGACTGTGAGACACATGAAGGAATTAAGCTAAAAAAATGGGGGTAGGATGGCAGAGGGGACTGGGGGTAAGGAGGTGTCCTTCCTGATTGGATGTTTCATACACTGTTATGGACTGCTAAGGTTGATGAAGCCTTGAGTGTGATGGTAAAAATGGTGAGGAGTATATTGAAGGCGAGAATATACCATCTGTATATAATATTTTACCATCTGTGTTGTCAAGGTTTTGTTGAAAGTATTAAGTATAATTGTACAATTTTAGTTTGGAAGTGAGAAGAGGTAAAGTCCCAAGAACACTTGTAAAAACAATACTCTAAGTTTGTGTAAGGATGAAAATGATTCAAGACTGTTTTTAAACAACTACACGTTTTGCAGACACGATCTCACAGTGTTAAATATTCATAATGATATTAAACTTTATGAGGACAATCATTTTTGTACTCGTCAGATATTTGCGACTAAGGATAATCCTGCAGCTGATCCCCGTCAAATGAGGAGGATCATAGCTGAAGATCCTGACTGGTTAGTTATTGATTAAATAATTATGTTTTGTTATTCCATAATTATGTCTGTTTATTATTAGAGTAATACTCTGGTAGCTTGGTAATTACATGACTGCAAATTTACAGGAAAAACAGAGAGAATATAGGGTAAAATTGGTTGGCTAGACTCAATAAGACCAGACAATTGACATGTATCTAAAAAAAAAAAAAGGAAAAAAACAAACAAATTAGTTTGTTTATGTATTTTTGTGATTTAAATGAATGCACCATAAACCAGTCAATAGCTCATTGTTACCACTACCAGAGATGGGCAGCCGCAACAACTAAATCTTTTGGTTGTGGAATAATGCATATCTTATTTGATTGTCTGATATAACTTAAATCACTGCAAACATTTGGCTCACTTCTTGTAGCCTTCATTACACCTTTAGTAAAGGCTTAGAAATGTATCATTAACTATATATCGTTAACATCAATATCAAAAAAAGCCTGAGGAATTGTACAATCTTTGGGCATTACAGTGTGCTATTTGATCATTACCTTTTTAGACTAATTTCTCTGTTATGATTAGATTCAAGTAATTTAATATGACACCACCTTCATCACCCTTCCACCACCCCTTATGGGATTCTAGACCACAATCATTGAACTCCTCCCTCCCCAAATTTGAAGCTCTTATTAAATAAATTCCAGTTTGAAAAAGAGACCCAATAATAAAGAGATCACCTGCGTACCAGTGTGGTCTTTCAGCTGTTCTGTTGAGAAAAAAGAGTGGACTGTACAGTCTATTTAACAAAGTGAGGATCTCAACCAAGACTGCTCACGTCAAACTTCATAGACAGTATATCTTAGTTAAAGTCGTATTTCTGACAACTTTTCAACTTGAAATTCTTTGAAATTAATATGTGCTATGTATTAATATGTATTAATATGTATTAATATGTGCTCTGTATTGTAGGAGTCTTGCAACTGTTCCACTGCTTACAGAACTCTGTGTAAAGCACATTGTGAAAAACTTTGAAGGTATCATTTGATTTCCCATTTACCAGTGCTAGATTTTTGTTTCTTGGGACACACTTCTTTGGACACATTTGTTCAGTTTATTTTTAACAATTGGTGTCCACAACACAGTATTCCTGCTGGGTATTGGACAAGTAATCTCTTTCCAGAATGAAAAATTCTATCATATTAATTAAATTAAATACATCAGTGTGCTAGGTATACTCTAGATATCACATACTTATGTGATTGTTCAAGCAGACCTATGAAACCATACTAATTTGCTGGTGTTTTATGCAAACTCTTACTCCCTGTAGAAAGTATATTAAATAAAATTCATCTGTCATGTACGTAGTACTACAGGTATGGTGAAGGCCAATTTTATTTATTTCACAGATAACCCCGTTCTTGATGAACTCCTTCCAAAGCATAAGTTCAAAGTACTTGAAGCCTTGTCTACGGAAATTGCCATGAAGTATGTGTAGAGTTTTGTTCAGAGTTTCATAATGTTTCCAGAAACTAAATGTACATTTATACATGCAATATTTTTACGTTATCCAGCTTTAATTTGATTTTTATTCTTGTGTAATGTACCAGAGTTACAGCTGGACTGGTTTCTGATGAAGGATATTGGAAAAGATGTTGTAAAGCACGATGGGAAGTTTGTGATATCAACAACAATGGAAACAGTTGGAAGAGGATGTACTTTGAAAGGAATTTACAAGGTTTGTACTTCTGCAACTAAATACATGTATGTACATCTTGAGGTTAATATTAAAGGGAAGGTGTTATTTGTACAGCAGTCAACAGACCACACCCCAAGGATTACAAGTCATTTGTGTTTAGAGCAGCATGATTTTTTTCTAGGAATTTGGAGCTATTTGATATTATTGTTTCTGCGGGCAAGCCTCTGTTACATCCCCACGAACACTGTAAACATGGTGCTGTGTACTGTGTCTGAATGTCTGTGTGTGGAGGGACTCATGTTTGAGCAGTGAGGACTGCAAGACTAAAGAGTAGTTGACTGTCTTTGGGGCTAGCAGCTCCCAATGAACATCCCTGGTGCCTGTTATCCATTATACAGCTTGATGCAGTGGTCAATTGGCTATACAAACACCAGTTGCACTCTCTAATTATGGCATCATGATACTGGTGTGTGAAATGTTATTTAAATCATGATGATATCAGTAAACAATATTGACTAGAAGATTTTGTTGATATAAAATTTAATATAATATTTTATTAGACGTTGTGGTGTGTCGTATTGTTAAGTATTTTAATTTTTGAGTTGTGCCATATTTTAAAGAGCCCATGGGGTGAGTCGAAATACATACAATGAGTAAAAATACTCAGCAATACTACACAATAAAACATGTAATAAGAGAATCATTATCCAAGTCACCAAATTGTTATTTCAGTGGGGAAAAATTTTGCAGATATTTCTGCAGTACAAATATCCCATGATATTTGTACTTTTTTTTGCACATTATTTGTACTCTACAAAGCACAGTTGGATAATATATATCCTTTTTGCTTATTATTTTGATGCTTTATAATTCTAAATACTGTAATTTGAACCTACAAGAAGGCATTTGAATTACATTGTCTGCATTGAATTTTTTCTTATTTTCAGGGCTCATTGAAAATTTTGTCCCAGAAACCACAGACCAATCTTTGGTAAGTTTTAACTGCTGTTCATAAGAAAGGCTATGCACTGAAAATGCAATAATTTATGTGTGCATAAGGTTGAAAATGCTGTCATTTTGTGTCCATGACATGAAAACCAGCTTTTGGGATTTTAAATTGTCCAAAGTTAGGAGAAAATGCCCAGCCAATATTCCCACATTTGAGTAATGTTATGCAATAGTACTTGTCAAAGGAATACCTATAACAAAGAAGAGTCTTGGGAAAACTGCAGAAGTACTCGTTTTCAAAGAACTTTCTGAGAGTGGGAACCAAAATGCTGTTAAATAAATTTTAATTTAATTCAGTTCATTCCTTTGCCACCTTTGGACATATTATTGCATTAAACATGTATGACTATTGAATTGTTTCCCTTCTTGAACAGTTGAATGAAACCCTTAAGCTGTCAGCTCCATATGTTAGAGGGTTAAACATCAGACAGCTTCTGCCTCCTGTAAAAGAAACATTAATCAAAGATGATGATAACTCTGATGCGTAAGTATTGGACTGCAAAAACTTGACTTTGCAACCTTTGTACTTGAAATACTCAGATGTATTTATCCCAAATTCATGCAAGGTTTTTGGAATTAAATTACATCTTTATGTAACCCATCGCTTCAGATGTGTGAGCAAATTTTAAAAGTATAATTATTATATTTCCTTGAATAGGCACCATAAGACCTCTTAAATTTTTTAGGCCTCAACCATAATTTTATTACAGGGTAAGTTCTTCTTGGAAACAGGAACAAGCATCAGTGTTCAAACTGTCAACAGGGAGGTTCATGGCTTAGCTTGTGAGGGAATTCCTTGAATAAGAAACAGGCTTGTTTTCTCCTAAATGGGGTGCATATTTGAGGGAGGGGCTTATTTTGGGTGTCACACTTATTCTAGAAAATACAGTACTAAGAAGTTCTTCTTTGTTTCTTGCCTTCATTCTTTTTTTTATTATTATTTTTGTGCAATTTTTTCTATTTTCTTTTTTGAAAACTTAACATTTAACAATTATTCGCCGAAGGCAAGGTGAATATCGTCGAATAATCCCCGAGACAATGTCGAGGGGATTATTCGACAATATTCACCTAACCTGAGGCGAATAATTGTTTTAGTATAGTTCAGAGCTGAACAACAGAGAAATTTCTAAAATCATAACATTTTAGTAACAATTATTAACATTTTAGTTTATCATTTAATATAAACCGTGCGGAGCGGTCTATATAGCGTCATATAAGGAACCGCTCGACCAATCAGATTGCTGAAAACTCTTTGTTCAGCTCTGAAATTATTAACTAAATATATATATATATATATATTCTTACCTGTTTTATTACTTAGTGGCAGTGATGCTGGACAAGATGGTCCAAACATTGATCACTTTGACTTTGGTCTTATCACTCCATCACTGATACATCTGGAAGAACTTCATTTGACTTATGGGTAAAGATAACATATTACTCTTTTCTTATCCTTTACATTTATAACAGTGATATTTGTCTGCTCATTTATTCAATAAATGCATAAAGCAATGATACAACCTTATTTTCAAGTTGTATGCTGAACATACAATTAAATTATGCCCTGAAAGTTATGCATTTATAAGATTCTCGGTAATTCTCGACAGAATATTGAGTTGTTCAGTTGCTTACACTCGATTTTCCTTTTTTCCTTCTAGTGTTCGGGATTGTGGGATGAACTTTGAATGGAACCTATTTCAGTTTACTGCCAGAGATTGTCTTCTTCTGGCTAAGGTAAGTGTTGTGTAACACTGTATAGTTAAAGATGACTCCAAGTTTTGTTAGATCCTCAGAAAAATGTAACAACTGATTGCACCCAAGGCTTGTGTCCAACTTCTTCTTGATCAAGAGTCTGGGAAGCCCCCCGGTTAGCTCAATTGGTTAAAGCGCTGGATTGTGTTGTGCGAGAGGTGGAGGGTTCGAGCCCTGGCTGGACCAATACTCATGGTCTTAAAATAACTGAGGGTAATTTGCTACCTTTCTATAATATCAAGAAATGGATAGATATTCTAGTCTTCTCGGATAAGGACGAATAAACCGTAGGCCTCATCTCATGCAGGGTTGGGGGTAGGAGACGTTAATTTCCCACGCACGAGATTACTGTGTGGTGGATGTCCTCCCCTGGGGTGGAGTGGGATGGGTGGGTGTTCACAGGGTCCCATTTAAACCAGCTATCTGCTAAACTGGGCTACCCTGTATAAATATTCATAAGTACTACCCTTAGGCCACTTCATATTTTTTTCAAAATTTCCTCTTTTTTTTCAATAAGGTACAGTAAAAATGGCATCGTGATCTCATTGTACATAGGGAATGAAAACCTCACGAGAAAATCTGTTCAAATATCATCACCTGCAGACGGGGAATGTGGTGTTAAAATCATGAAAAGACCCTGTACCTGATGTGTTGGTAATGTCATTATTGATTTTTTTAAAAGAGAAGTGTCACGTTGAACACTTGTGGGCATGCTAGGGTAAAGTTGTAAAATGCAGCTTTGGTGTTCCTTGAGTTTCAGAAGTATTTTGATTCCTCCACAGGCTGTGAAAGCATGTCACACCTTAAAAGTGTTCCATCTTCACAGAAGTGGTGTGGATGACGAGAAAGTTCGAGTTTTAATCAGTCATGTATTGGACCATCCCTCTCTCCTTACTTTAGGTTTGTAAAATATCACTAACATTCGTTTTTTAATATGGTACATTTTCAAGAAAAACGGTTCTAGAAAACAAATGATAAAATTTCCCAGTTGAAAGCGGATCCCAAAGGAATTAAACCAGACAACCAAAATGACGTACAACTTTAACCTAAAGTAGAGAGTTCTTGTGGCTCTGTGAATGTAGATACTACCAACAAGATTGATTTAAAGCCTTTCAATTAATCCCGTTTGGAACATTTCCCTTGAATTGCCAAATGGCACATTCCACATAAATTTAAGAGGCCATGTTTGAATATGAGTTCTTGTTTGATTCACTCCTTTCAGATCTTTCACACAACAAGATTGAAGACAGTGGTGCGCGAGCGGTCGGCAAGTTACTGAATGGTCGATGTAACCTCACCACGCTAAACCTCTGCGATAATAAAATACGAACGAACGGTGCTGCCGCCATAGGACACGCCTTGGGGAAAAACACCACACTGACACGTATTAATCTTAGACTAAACAGGTAAAAACTCACTGACTTGTAGTTAGTAATATTATAGCTTTGAAGCTGACATCTAGGTCGTATTGTATTGGGAGCAACCCAGACAACCACAGTCAGTTTTGTTTAGAGCAGTTTCAGTCCCGTTTAGAACACTTTAACGGTTGAAACGCAGTACCTCCTGCGAATAGTCATAACCAGACCTATCAGCGTTCGGAGGAGGTTCAGGGAAGACAGCAAGCCGGCCAGTTTCCATCGTATATCGCGATTTCTACTACTTTTTCACCGATTTCCACGATTTTCAATCCTTCTTCTTCTTCTTTCACATCCGGAAAATGAAAATGCACGAGTAATTTGTTTTCAGTGTCGATAAACAGAATTACGGCCAGTTACTGAAGCCCGCGCTCGACGTCAATAACCCCGCGAAATCAACCCAAAAAAGGTTGTTGTTCATTTGAATACCGGAAATATCTTAAAACAGTCTATCACAATAATAAGCGAACTAAAAAAAGTAGTTCTACATAAACAGCCTATAGTTTATCAGGCTCTGCCCTCGCTGATCTCACTAAGAGAACCGCATTCTCACCCTAAAAGCGTCAAAAATGTTTTCCTACATACTGCCTCTCTGGTGTGGTTATGGTGTTAACTTTTATTGTCCATCCGAACTTGGATAAATTCGTAAAACGAATCCCAGTCGCAGACAAAGAGTAGAGCTCGAGTACATTACCTGAGCTCCCGCTAAATTCACTTCAGCTAGTGTTGTGTAATCGCAAGTGGGACTCAATGGTCTCCCAATTTCGGCCGTCCACACTACATGATCTGCCCGACATTTACCTAACCTTTTCGTAAGTTTTTAACTTTGGAGTTTTAATTTGGGTGGGGTAGACGACATACACTAAACTTGCATACACTAGACGGCATACACTAAACTTACCAGAAAATATGGCAATCTGCGATCTTTCCTTACACTTAGGCAGAACGGAAAGCCGTAACACTCTTGAACAAAAGCTCATCTTTTAAACCGGCAGTCTAAATCCCACAGGGATCAACGAACGCTTTTCATTCCACTAATTTATTCGTGTTTTTCTCGTTGCCATGTTCCCACCAATAAGGTAGCTCCATTTTCTGCCTTTAAAAGCACACACAACCAAAAATTCCTCGATTCGCTCCGACGAAGGGCTAATGCTCGAAACGTCAGCTTTTGTAATCGTTACGGTGACTAATTTACCATTTCAACTTTGTTGATATATCCAAATTATTTTGTTACCCCCACCGACGCAGCCCCAAACAGTTTCTTTAGAAACCATCAGCACTTTATTTGTTTGTTTTGTTCAGGCACTGAGAAAGCTCGAGATTTTTACGGATTATGGTCCATCCGTTATGCTTAACTCTAACTCTAAACTTCCAGCCTAGCACTCCGTACCGACTTTTGAGATAAGACTAGTTTTGCACCCTACATGGTGCATCCAGTGTATTGCATCGCAGGCTTCCTCGCCTCACTCATAAAACGGACAGTGATGTTACAGTTTATTTTTATCCCGTATTTTTGTTCAGTGTGCACCTTAGTGATTAATATAATACAATCCTATTTTGCCGCTTAATTTACGTTTCATTTTGTAATCCATTCTTTTCATTGTTCATCATTTCCCCTTCCTAGTTGACCGCGCGTAAGTTGTCCAACAGCGTTCTGTAAAAGAGTAAATCTTTATTGCTTAGTCGTGTGTGCTCTACGTTTCCTTTTGCATGTATGAACTTTCCTGATAAACATTTATGACATTGGATTCAAAGTTCCGCTTTGCACGTGTTTGTTGTTTTTTGTTTTCCTCAGACTGGGAGATGATGGTGGTCAAGCAATTTGTCGCTCTCTGTTTAAAAACAACTCCCTCACACATGTCCATTTAGGAAGTAACGATCTTGGTGAACCAACAGCGGCCATTTTGTCACAGGTGTGCAAAAATATGACTGAGACAAATTCCGTTAAAGCGCTTTTAGATTGATTGTCCTAAAATCAAATCAAAAGGTACATGTAATCGCGACAACCAATTAGAGTGGCCCCTTCTTCTTATTGGCTGCTATGATTCCCAGATGATGCCAATGAAACTTTTAAATGATTTTTACGCCGTTAGTCTCGACAGCGAGAAGAGGCAAACCCTCGCTGTACTGTAATTCCGCGCAGAAAGTTTGTTATTGAGGATGAAATACACAAATTCTTATGTTTATTTTCTCTACTGAACCTTAAAAGACACTATTTCGCATATTTTTGTGTAGGATTTTACATTCTAGTACAACTGCCTTTATTATAAATTACTTCCAAAGGTTTTAGCCGATAACAAGACCTTGGTGGATATTAACTTATCGTGCAACACAATAGGACCGGTGAGTTTCTTTTTTCTGCTTTCTAGTTTCAATACTAAACTTCATAAATGAGCACTGTAATAATCTCCCTTCATTTTCTTTGATGACACTTCAACAAATTTATGCCTAGTTTTTCAATTGTGGGGGCAATTTTTGCGTCACCATTTGGTTTAACATATATGACTACATCGATAGAATCTGAAAGACAGAACTGATTATGACTTCTATAAAAGAGAGACGGCTCTAACGGCGTAGATTCTATAATTCCTCTGAATTCACTTTTATGGATGGCCTTGAGTTGGGCGTAATTGAACGGAAAGTTTTCTTTTACTTCACCGCTCTAAATGACTTCACCCATACCCCCAACATCAGCATTGATTTTCTCCTTACTGTTTTCTTTACATTTTCTATTGTACTGACAAAGAGAATTTGTTTGACAATCAGCAGCTTCATTAATCGGTGATCATTTCCTGTATTCTCATGACTTTTACATTTGATTCAAGGGTGATACTGTTAGGAGAAAATAGAAGCCAATCACTATTTGGCAATAAAGGGTTAATATTGCCTGATCCACTACAAACTTTCTTTTGTCAGGATGGAGGAAAATCATTACAAGAAGGAATGGAGGAAAATACGACGATACAAACCATGGACCTGAGACTAACAGAAGTGGGACAAGAAAATGAATACTGTATAAATCAATTACTAAAAAGAAACAGAGAAGAAAAGTACAGACATAGCCAGACAAGTTAACTCAGTTCTTGATGGAGATGTGAAGCTTGTTTCGCCGACAACGTCTGAAATTGTGGACTGTCTCAAAATGCCCTTAGATATTGTTTCTCGAGCGAAAAGCACTGAAACTACATATCAATCTTAGTGTCTGTGTTTTTTTACTTGTCAACACAAAGAGGTTTTATTTGGAGGTACACCTTTTGTTAAAATAACCGTATGAATGATGTTGATGTAGTGGTATGTCAAGGTGACACAGTACTTCTTAAATGGACTGAGACACTTAATTATTGCAAATAAATCATTTTTTATTATATCGGATTTTTTAGTTGTCGTGGAGAAACATGTACAAACCTTCCTGGTGGGTAAGATTATTTGGCGTGGAGCTAAATCAATATGACATGGAGTAAAGCTTATGAATGTCCAAATCCCCATTTATATTCGCCCTAGGTTATTTTTGTCACTTTCATAACCAACCGAATCAATCATCTCTGGATTTAATTCTGCGACATCGACATCGACAGCGACAGCGACATCGACCACTTAACAAAACATTCCATGTTGCCATGCGTCTGTTCCGTAAAAGGTCACATATGACGTCACAATGTGGCAAGGACAAAAAAGTTTTTTTTTCCAACACACAGGAAAAAAACTTTTTCGAAAGCTTAAGTTACATGTAAAAAAATTTTAAATACGCTAATCATGAGGTCTTTGCCTATTGTTATTTTTCAATGCTGAAATGGTTAAGATGGCCGGAGCAAGTTGAATAAACCAAATTTTTCCTTCACATGACACGGAACCACAATTTGGTATCACACCGTCAGAATATATTCACCTTTCTACTTTCTAAACTCCGTTCGAAATATCAAATAGGATAGGGTTCGTATCAGGTGATGCATTTCATCCGGTGGCATGTGATGGTCCATCCATGGTTTTTAGCACAGAATATTGTACCAGTCTCAGTAAACAAACTACAGTTAAAAAAGAACTTTTTAGTTTACTTTATAAACGCCCTTAAGGGACCGTCATCATCATGTCACCGGGGAGAGGGGGAAATCGGAGGATTTGATAATGTCACAATAAAATTTACCCTGATCCTTACCTAAGGCTCTGTCAGTGTTCTAATTACCCC